TATAATGACCTGCATTGTTCTCATGTTCAAGAGAGAATCACGATCAATAAAAACAACCAACAGACACGTACCGTAAAGTCGGTGGAGGACTGAGCTGTGTGCCGGTTTGAGGTTCGTTGTCGTCTAAGCTCAACGTTTTCGAAAACTTCAATGACGCCGCTTTCTTCTCGCTTTCTAGAGACGTTACGGGACTAACCTCCGTTGGTTGCGGTTTGCTAGCTTCCACTGGATCGTGTTCGTGGTCATGTTCATGGTGAACGATGTTCAGGTCTTCCTTTAGCATGCGATCGTCTAGTGGCTTCAGACCGATGTTTCTGTTCCAGTGGATATCAAATTGGTTGTTAATACGACTAGTGAAGAACGAGTTGCAGAACAGTTGGACAATATACTTAAACTTTACTAAGTCTTACTTTACGACAAACTTGTCCTTGCACCGGACGGGTAAGTTCAGCCGGAACAACTGCAGTTTTGGTTTGCTGGCTGTTCCAGAAGTTTTCGACTGAAGTTTCAAACACGGAGGGGTGTCGCCACTTTGAGGAATGCGTATCACTTTAAACTGTTTGTCGTCTTCACCAAGGTTTTCGAAACGAGGATAATCCTTTGTATACCAGAAGGGCATCGATCTGGACATGTTTCTGAACAATACATCATAAGTGATCAATATGTTGTTGAAATCGACAGATTATGCTGAATAAGCTGAAAAAAGTTTTTGTTAAGTATAGGCAGTTGATGCCAAACAAATGGACATTTGGAATGCAGAATCTGTCTTCTCCATGAGCAATCCGTTTTGAGCTCTATTCAGTACAGACAAAATCGTGGTACCACCTTGAGCCGGTTATCATACCGGAGAATGAGCTATCAGGTGTGTTAAAGCGAAATGCAATTTCGAAGGGCGCTCGCATGCGACAGAGTTTCCATGCAACTCCTCCTTTCTGGGCATGACCAGACCAAAATATCGTTTTCTGCCTATTATTCGCAAGTCATCGACCTGCTACCCTCTTCTCGACTGATGGCGACAAACAACGGATTGTCCCTTGAGTGGATTCGAGCCCGAAACGTGCGGAGTTTAAGACGACCCTTTTCCACCTTTACCATCACGCCCGGTAAATATCAATTATCCAGGCAAAAATAGACTGAGGAAGAGGGGAGGGCAACATTTAGCGCTTGAAAAATAAAGCAATTCTAGTAACGATTGCTATTACAACAAAACAGAATCGAAAAAATTCATCCCTGATTGAGAGTAGCTCAACGATGGGCGATCTATCGTTAACTATTTCTCCCAGTTCTGTATGTATCAGTTATCCAGATAAAAGTAAATTAGAATAAGAAAGCTATGCAGTTACTTTTAAAAGAACATTGACGCTTGCAATGCATCATCGATCTTTCGACGATGTTTTCAACAGGCACTGAAATGTTTTACCCTGTCTACTGTACTTTAACAGTAAATTATACCCGAGCAGACGATCGATTGCTTCCTGAGTTATGGAAAAGTAGCAAAAACATGTTTAATCACAAGGTAGTCAGTGAATAAATAGATAAACATGCAAACAGTTAGGTAAATAAAATGTATGTACGTACACATGCAGAGGTAAATAAGTAATAAAATAAATAGTAAGTAGTTTGTATCTAAATATACAGGGGGCAGTGATGCAGCGCAGAATTGTTGGATCTTTCACACCAAAGTGTTCGCTCGAATTCAGCGACATCGTGATTATTTTCTTATCCACAATCAGCTGCAGCTGCTTGAGCAACGAGTTCAGCCAACTGTGTTTTAGTGCATATCCTTTAAGAACCCAGCAGCCAAAGAATTAGGAAATTTTCTGGCGGAATGTAATTACAGTTGCATAACATTAAGTATTATATGCAGGCCTAGCTGACAGTTATGCTCCCATGGACCGATCATGACCACGTAATGTGGGAAACATGCTGGTCGTGAATGCTTATTGGTTGTAGCGTTAGACGACCATGTCTAAAGGAATTAGTCCGTCGGCGAAGATGGCTTTTTTTATAACTTTAGTCGTGTAGAATTTTTGGAATGCAGTGCTTGTAAAACAATTCGTAATGAGAAAGAACCTGTACCATTGGGCGGTGGTGCGTCTCATACTCATATACAGATATACCTCCAAGCGGTTGACTCACTAGGCGGGCTGTTACATATATAAGAGCTGACGACGAGATTCATGGCCGTGTTAACCGATGCACATGCTTTACAACTGCAACACACCTTGAGCGGAGTTGTTGCAGTCGTTTAATCAGCACAGGTATAAACAGTAAACAAAAAGTTAGTAGATATGTAAAGCAAACGCAGCCGCAAATGCAAATTTAGCACATAATTCGAATGATCTAGTACAATGTTTAAATACCTCGCTTCCTCAATCAAAAAAACTATACTACTTCTAACGATCAGTTGTCATAAATCTTGTATACCCTGTTTATTAAACCTGTTCAGCCTCAGATGACCATGATAAAGCAACAAACAACAACGACATTTACATACCGGTTACCAAAAAGCAGTGCACGACATTAGTTATTAAATACCACAATTACAAGCAAATGATTACTGCTAAGTTTAAATTATAAACTTAGCATTTCTATTAGTCCAGAAGCGGAGGGTTAGACCAGTAGACGCTGCGATTGGCCAGAAATCGAATACATGACAACTTGAGGTCGAAGTCGAAGAACAAACTAACATAATCTCTTTCCTGGACATCAACATAAAGAAAGTCTTAAATAGTTCTCTGCCCGTTTTCTACAAACATCAGAATTGTAATGGTTTTACGCCGCAATTCTCCCATCAGAGTTCATCAGTATTTTCGTCAGCTTAGGTAGAAGAGTGATATCTTATTGCAACTGCCAATCAATATTTAAAGTTGAAATGTTCTGCCATACGGATTTTAAAAAAAAATAATTGTTTCAATAAGAATTATCCCCAAAATTATCTCCTTCATTCAATTTACAAACTCGACCTTCCATCTCGAAAAAAGGAAAAACAATACCGTTAATTTTCGATTATTTTACCTGTCCGTCTTTAGCTGAATAAGGTCCATTAAACGGCATCTGTAGGAAAGGTATCAGTTAACGCATTGTCTGATATGTGAACACTTTATTACAATTGACCGGCTCAAAACTAGGCTGTTTACCAAACGGATAAAAAAATATCTGCATTATTTCAAAAATACTGTTTAAACTCGTCTAAAAAAACTATGGCAGCCCTTGAGCATCGATATGAAGAACATTCTTTTCTATCGTGAAGAATGTTATTGAAAAATTACACCTCACTGACGGTACAGCAAGCCGTGCAGGCTTTGCCAGAAGCTAAGAACGGCGATGACACCGCCAGATGAGAAATACGCCTATTAGAAATCCCCTGCCGGGAACATGTTCATAGGAAAAGCACTGGTGGGCCTGACTTTTGTCATGGACTAGTACAGCGTCACGCTCTAGTATTTTTAATGAAAATAAAGTTGCACTAATGGTCATTGCAGCGTCTCATCCAAGAATGAAGACCAATCCTTTAACGACTGATAGGATGGATCTTCAAGACAACAGACTTGCTCATCGAGCTGCTAGAGTAGCAAGGGCTTGAAGATTTTAGACCGTGACAACACTACTGTCGGTCTCGCGAAATCACGTTTATTATAGCATTTGGTGCAGCCTGCGCAAAGGATGAATTTGGCTCCAAAGATCTTTCCATAAATCTAAACCTCCTCCATAATAAATCAGTTTCTACTTTTTAATCTAATTTAATTCTTTTCGTTTTCGTTTATCTGAAATCTTTTTAATTCTTTGCTTTGAACATCTCTTTGCTTTTCGTTTTCTTGCACCTTCTCCTTTTTACTACCATACTTTAGACTTTCTCGCTACAATCATATATCCGGTGATTTTTGTTACTACGATATCTTCTGCGTAAACTATAAATTTTTTCTGAAGAGGGAATACCGCTTTGGATTTCAATGGCTTCACTTATTAAATACATTAAATACAAACTTCTAGATTTTGAGGCATTCGACACTGGCTTACTGAACTACTCATTGCAACCGCAACTGCTCATCATCCTTGTAGGCGGAAAGTTGTTATGGCAGAACTCTATCGCATTTAACGTTTGAATTACTGACACTGGATTTACACGGCGAAAACGCACCTCCCACATTTTCTAATGACCTGGAAGGAGGGAATTTTAGCGTAGGTGGGCCGTGAAAAGAGAGAAAATAAATTTATGTTTTCATATTGGCTGACCATAGGAATTCTTCAAATTCAGTATCATGAAGCAAAATGGTAAGTCAACTAGGAACACATCTGTCATGTAATCTGTCAATTTGGACCTGATGACGGACAATATAATTGTTCTCTTCTTGCCTCCTAGTATGTTTTGACCCTGAATCGTAGCCATGCCTGTAACCTATAACCTCTGGATCTTAAAGAAATGCTCTTCTGTTAGATTATCCAAGAGTAAAAGAATAAATTTAAAACAAATCAATAAAGAATTAACAAAATTAAATACATTAAAGAATTAACAAATCATAAAAATAAACTTGATCTTATGGGTTCATTAGCATCCTACTAGTTATCGATATCGCTGCTAAGAGAAATAACATTCTCTCTTTAGATACTTGACTGAAACGGCGTATTGGCACCGCACCGTACTCTTGCCTTTAGCCGCCTAGGGGACCACTTAAGCAGGCCATTGTTCCATAATATTTGAGCACCTGCAATGCATGTATGCAAAATCGTATCACTGTATAAATATGCCTACGGAAAGTGGCATATCGGCAGGAGTCCGAACGGGCCTTGGCTCGGTCCTGCCTAGTGATGTAGTTCTGACTGTTTACATCATGCCCTAGGTGGCTAGAAGCAAAGGGATGGTGTCATTACGCCATTTCAATCCGGCATTAAAAGAGAAAATGTCATTAAAGAGTCAGTTCCAAAATCACTTGTTTGAATTAAACATTCGTCCTTTCTAAGTACTGGATTTCTGCCAAAAATATGTAAACAGCGTACATGCAAAACGGTTGATATCCCTCCTGCAGTCCGCATGTTGTGAAATACTTCAGAGAATTCACGTCCTGGCCAAAGTTGACCCGGCACTGCTGTCCCTGTGCGAGAGCGAAAGCAGGAACAATTCCTACGGTTTAAATGAATGGTCAAAATGACGAAACAGAACAAACATTAGCTAATAAAAATTTACCTTCTGAAACGTTCACGTTGCTGAATGCGATTTCGGCTCCCGACGCATCAAGCAGCAACTCCCCGTTCAGTGAATAGCCTTAAAAAAGTCGTACGTAACATCTATATAAGAATAACGATACAATGCCAATCGAATTATAATACTTGGATGTATTCAGTGAATAAAACTAATTTAATGGTGGAATAATCCATTTTTCCTTTGACATTCCCCAGCGACGAAAGAATTCGTGTAAAGGTAGCCTGAATATACATCAAATGTAGTCCGTAGATTCGTACTCAGACTGAAAAGTTCAAAAGACGGCTTATTAATACGCACAAGAAAACAGTCCATCCTACGGAAGATCAATTTCGACGTTTCGACTCGTAGCTAGCTGGAAGCAAAGTGGCTTCCTGCAGACGACTGGAATAAGTGCTGACGGTTGCACCCTGTCCCTGGATAAATACCCGTGAGATACGGATCGAAACGTTTTATCTGTCTATTACCCGATAGACCATTTCACTGTGTCATATGAATAAACCGTTCTCTGCTGTTTTAAACCTACACTTAAATAATTCTGATTCTAATCGTAAAATCCAATTATAACAGAAGTTGTCAGATACGATGCAGTACAAGAGACAAATCGTAATAGTTTCTTTAAGGTCTTTTTCTACAGATATGGCACTTAATCGCTATAGCGACATAAACCTGAAAAACAGAAAGAAGCACAAATCATGTATATACCATTTCCACTATGTATTTGGCGCCGATCTGTTAGATTTCATGTATCCACGTTCGGATTAAAACATTTTCGCGTCGCGACTGACCTGTACCAGTAAACGAATCGCTGGGCTGACGTTCGTGGAACAGATATCCAATGAAGCCTTGGTGTACAGCCGCTGCTTTTCCAGATTGTTAAAAAAAAACGGGTGCGATGGTTTGGGCAAGTCTTGCAAATGCTTTCACAAAACAGCAACTACCTGCTCAA